TTAATTCTGTTAACACTGCTGTCAACCAAATAAATACTTTGGAGCAGGCTCAGTCCTTCATATTTATAAAGGAACTGCTGTCTGTCTGTCTATGTATTTTAACTTAAGACAAGTGTCATGATATGGGAGCATTTTCTAGGTATTACATCTAATTAGGAGTCTGATCCTGCACCTAGAGATTCCCTGTTTGAGTAGGAGTTGCATTATTGAAACATGTATTTGAAACTTGACAGTTTTGGTGGATCGTACAAATATTTTCTTCATATTCAATCCATGTGCATTCACACCTCTGGAGTCTTGCTTTTGAGACTTCACTTCAAAGGAACTCAAAATGCAACTCATTTGAAAGTGCCTGGTTTCATCTCGTATGTCACATTTGCACGTCACGTGATTTTCATGCATACCCATAAATCAGACCAGGTTTGCTGAAATGGTTCATAAATGTCAGCAAATCTTGTGATGAACCTTTACTGACATTTGAGTTTGTAACAAAATAGGACATTGGGGAGCTTTGTGTGGTTTACCATTTCATACATCTCGAGTGCAAAAGCAATCTTCTAATGCAGACTAGACACATATTTGACTTGTCAATCTACAATGAGGTTCATCAAGTCTAATTCAAGGTCTAGAGTGCTCTGCTGTTCTCCCAAAAGGACTGGATGAAAAGAAATAACCCATGGTAAAAGTTCTCCTGAAGCCTAGAAACTCGCGAATGACTTGTTCACTAGGGAATGTTTATTCATGTTGTTTTCAAAACCTTCCCTCCTCAGTATGACCCAAAGTTTGTGTGTTTTTATTTTTTCAGCTTTTAGACTTAGGAAAGGAATATGAAAATATAACATTAGAAAATTAAGAATGAATCCTTTTTTTCTGACCTAGTTAAATGCAAAAGAATCAAAATGGTTTTAAATTCTGTGAGCATGAAAATAATATATTTTTCATGAAAGAATAAAAAAAGTATTGTTTGCATGCTCACGTAATTTAGACATGCTTCAGTTGATTTTCTGCATTTTTCCCCAAATATTTCACCTTTGTGTTGAGCAGGAGCTTGTTACATTCTGGTTCAAAAACAAAATCTTTGAGAAAGTTACAAGTCTTTGATCATAGGATTTAAAATGGGCTTGCAATAGTGAAATATAAGTATGTGATGTTATGCAATTTGAATCGTGTTGAGACAAACAACTTAATGTGGATTGAAATATGAAATCAGTCTGAAATGCAATTCTGAATGTCTTTATCGGAATTAATAGGCCTCATAATGGCCACAGGGAGATGAAATTAGAGGTCTGGAAGCAACTATTGTTAACTGATGAATCATTCCAGTAGGAGAGAAATCTGGTTGTAGTATGTTCCAAGGAATTGTGTTGCTGACTGTTTAGGATTCAGTTTGGAGCTGTAATTGGTATATGTGTTCTGATTGGTTAATATCTTTCAAAACCTCAATATTGTTGTAATATGCTGTGGTACACAATGGTAGCTTCTGACTTATCACATGACTTCAGCCAATCATAGAGTACGGGTATTTTTCTCGTATGCTGCACTGATAAATGTTCAATTAAGAGAAAGGATGAGTATTTTTAAGGGCTGGCAAGTACATTACATTTCTCAACATCGCCCACTGACTTTCAGAGCTTTTAGGAGTATTAATATATGATGATAAGTAGCATCAAGGTAGAGCAGTTGTGAAGATGGTAAAAATAGTCTTCAGTCAAATAAGAGCTTTTATTTCAAACCTCTCTGTGACTTAAACAAAGGATTTATCTTATAGACTTCCCCTCCTAGTATATGTGCTACCGTAGCCATATCTCTTTCTCTCATCTATGAAATAGATTTGAAGATTTAATCAAATAAAATGTTAAGCAAAAGATAAAATAGGCAGTAAGAGGACACAACGTTTTTATGGTTAGCTTCAACAGCCCATTCTGCCTCTCTTGCCCCTGAACTGAGCAGCAGGTTGTGATGATTTGAGCCATTGTTATTCTTGCTCTGTCAAAGCAGTGAGTTTTGCTGCTGCTAAGCTGTGTGTCAGCTGTCTGGCACAGCAGCTCATCTGCCTTGACAGCAAACTCTTCAGGTCTCTCCCACTCTTATCTTGCCCTTGAAGGTAACAGTCAGTGAAGGCCAATTCTCCAAATTCCCTCTCATTGGACACTCACAGAATTTATTAATTTTGCTGCCTCCAAAGAGACAGAGCACACGATAACCTGTTAGGTTATCTGAAGACTTATATTTCTCTTCAATTTAACAGCACTGAGAAATGCTCTTGTAATAAACAAGACTAAGTTTTATTAACAAACAGAGGTGTAAATAATTTCAAATAAGTGAGAAAGAGAGAGAGAAGGTTACAAAGAAAACAAAACGTGCCTTCTAGTATCTAAAACTTAACTTTAGCAAGTTACAATTTTTGTCTAAGCAAGATTCTCATCTATATTCAGTTCTCAGAGATTTCAATCCCCTGGGTTAAAACAGGCCCCTACACAGGAATTTCTGTGTGGGGGTGCTTTTTTTGTAAATGTGGACCGCAAGGGTGTGAATGCATCCCCTATGGTCCTCCAAGTAAGCGGGAAAATCAGCCCCAGCTTTCCCTTGGTTGGCCAGAACATAGAGGAGGGAGGCTCAGGCAGCACTGTTCCTGCCTTCCCTGGGCTGTCTGGAACATGCTTATTTGGGAGACCATAGAGAGGTGCTTTCCCACCCGTTAGCACACACACCCCACCCCGCGGATGGGCCTGGTTGAAAGACTCACTTTTCTCAGTTTTCAAGGTCTTGTTTTCCTCTCAGCTGATGGATTGTCATTTCCCCCACAGCTGACGGATGGTCATTTCCCCCACTTGCTACTTTGATGGCTTTGGATACCTTATATGTAAATGTACTCCTATTGTTTCTGGTCTCACTTTGCTCGGTTTACATTGGAGACAGTCAAGCAGGTGAAACAACATTAATTTGTCTGGGGCAGGCTGGGGTTATGCACTGGTTGCCACTCCTATTTTAAGAACATATTTTCCAACACATATCTGTTATTCTTTAAACACCACCCTACAAATATCCCACAAAAACAGTAGTGACCAGAAAGCTATCTGTTTTCATATGAAACCTTACATGCTGCCTTTTAGATACAGATCATGACAACAGTGTGTTGAAGCAATGAGTGTATCAAATCTGATATGAGTAAAGGTATAGTGTGCCCTCTGCCAGTTGGCACTGGGGGGCTTGCAAGGTCTCACAGATAGAGGAAGATTCTAAATGACATCCCCTCTCCTGCTTGAGTGAATGGGAATGGGAACATAAGAGTGGCCATACTGGGTCAGACCAAAGATCTATCTGGCCTAGTATCCTGTCTGCCGACTGGCCAATGCCAACTGCCCCAGAGGGAATGAACAGAACAGGTAAATATCAAGCAATCCATCCTCTATGGCTCATTTCCAGCTTCTGCCAAACTGGGTTGGGACCCAATTCCTGCCTATCCTGGCTAATAGCCATTGATGGACCTATCCTCCATGAATTTATCTTGCTCTTTTTTTAATCCTGTTATAGTCTTGGACTTCGCAACATCCTCTGGCAAGGAACTCCATAGGTTGACTGTGCATTGCCTGAAAAAGTACTTCCTTTTGGTTACTTTAAACCTGTTGCCTATTCATTTCATTTGATAACCCCTAGTGCTCATGTTATGGGAAGGAATAAGTAACTCTTATTTATTCACTTTTTCCATAGCAGTCATGATTTTATAAGCATCTAACATTTCCTCCCTTAGTTGTCTCTTTTCCAAGCTGAAAAGTCCAAGTCTTATTAGTCTCTCCTCATATCAGATCAGGAAGATCAAGCTGATGACTCTCAAATGGGAGGATTTTATTATCCATCATCTTTAATATGTTATTTCATTGTTTTTGGATTGGCCTTTAATGAGTTCCGCGAGTTTAAATCAGATTGGCTTATAAAATCCATGGAATAATAAGATTTTTTTATTATTAATTCACAATGGCTTTAGTGTGCTACACTTATCCCAAAAAATCCTGCAGAGCCATCACTGTCATTTGATACTCATATCAGCTACACTGGTGACACATAAAGAGATGCCTGGGGTATAGTAGGGTTGTCTGATGCTTTTGATCTATCATGATCCTTTCTCCTTCTGGGGAGCTATATTCAGCTGGGGCTCATTTTATGCATAATACAACCAAGAATGATTACTTAGTTTTGTTTTTCGATTGTACTGTAGTATGGAATAAATACATCTCCAGCTAAATAGGATAGGCAGGGATAAAAACAGCTTAATGAATGATGATTTTAAATGTATGCAGTATTAACAAACTAGGGCCCGACTCTCCATTTGTGTACAATTTACATCAAGTGAGGGGCAGGCTTTTTTGTTGTGCAAAAGTAATGAGCTAGGAAAGAGCAGGTTTCAGTGAAAGTGGCATTATAAAGAAATTTTATGTATCACCTGATGAGTGTAGAGATCCCCCTCTCTGTGTATGATGTTTTTCCCTGAGTAAAAATTAAATGTTCAGGCGGCCAATTAAATACTTGGGAAGAAATATTTTACCTTGCAGACACAAGCACTACAAGTGCATGTAGACTGAAGCTGTTCAGGAATCTTCATAATCTTTTACATTTCTCCTATAAACAATGCCGGGGATAATTTAAATAACAGAGAGAAGTACTGGAGCTGCTCTCTTCACTTGTCTATTAACTTCGATTTTTATCTGCTTTGGTTTAACTATCCAATCTTTAGATACTTACTGATGCTCTGTCTCCCACCTCCCTCAATTTTTCTTCCCTTCCCCCTACCCTTCCCCTCTCCTATTTATATCGGGTGTGCAGATCCCAAACTCATAACTCTGGTCATCTGAAGAAGTGCCCATGAAAGCTCATGATACCATCTATGTGTTTTGTTAGTCTATAAAGTGCTATCAGACCATTTATTTTTTTTCTGTAATAGACTAACTTGGCTACCCCTTGAAGTTTCTTCACTTGCTGTTTCTGTTTTGTTTTTTCTATAGTTACATTGCAAACCAGCGGAAGTTAGAAAGTATCAATAACAATGAAGTTGGACTTTATGTTGGACTGAAAAATCTGTGAGTATCTGACCATACTATCTTTGTTTAACATTCATATTTTTAGTTTTTCTTACAGTAGGATCTATAGACCCAGTCAGTGAAAAGGGCCTAATTGTACTGGATGCAGTACAAACATGAATTTAAAAATATAGTTGTTGTCCCAAAGAGGTTACAATTTAATTAATTATAATGATCTAGGTTAATTGTAATCCCAAATCTTATTCTAATCATTATTACTATTTATCAATCCACTTTATTTTAACTGACCAACACTAATGATTTTAACATTATATGTTTTCACAGAACCGTGGTGGATTCAGGTTTAAAGTTTGTGTCCCGTCAGGCATTTCTGAAAAACACCAACCTGCAGTACATGTGAGTCAGAAAAACTCATGTTTTATAGGTCAGAAATGCCCAGACCTTGTTACTTCTGATCGCTTTCCTTTCTCGTTTTCCTGGTATAAAGTGTTTTAAATAGAGGCACATAAGGATCTTTCGTTAATAACTTTGGCATGAAAGTGGAAAGTATTATAAGCAAGGGGGAAGAGGGCAGCCTGTTAATTTTGTTGTGCTGGATCATTTCCCTTTGGACCTGGCAAAGGATGAGTAGTCCAAAGTCCTCACTGAAAACAACTCAGAAACATAATCAGCTCAGTTTATTTTTTGTTGGTTTGATTACATCTCGTTGAAGCAGATAGTTGCCATTCATTTTCGACTTGTGTACACACTGTGTTAATCTGCACAGAAGAGGTCTGAATTCTAGTTCACATCAGCATATCATGCACTAACTAATCCATGTAGATTCTGCTATTGTACACTAAAAGTTCCCTGGAATGTAATCATGTCTGGGACCAAGTTAACAGACACAAACGGTCTTTTAGCATGTGCCAGCAGACCAATTTGAGTGTGATATAGTGGTGAGCAGAATTTACACTCCCCTAGGGTACATCTAGACTATAAGCCTCTTTTGAAAGAGGCTTTTTTGAAAGATTCTTTTGAAAAAGCCTCTTTCAAAAGAGAGCGTCTAGACTGCAACCACTTCTTTCGAAAAAGCGAGCTGATTTTTTGAAAGAGAGCACCCAGGAAATCTGGAGGCTCTCTTTCGAAAAAGCCCTGTTTTCATTCAAAAACTCCTTTTTTCAAAAGAGAACTTTCGAAAAAAGGCATTCTTCCTCATAAAATGAGGTTTACCGCGGTCAAAAACCCCGCTGGGTTCGTTCGATTTAATTTTGAAAGAACGCGGCGGCTGTCTAGATGAAGGGGAAGTTTTTCGGAAAAAGACTACTTTTTTTGAAAAAACCCTGGTGTCTAGAAACACCTCTAGTGCAGACCTATATATACATAGCGTAGACAACACCATTAAGAAACGTAGTGCTGAACTCACTCCTCCTTCTCACATTTAGGATTGTGGTCCCAGTTCTACAAGGTGCTGAAATTTTCATCAGGGCTTAGAATATTCCATGAACTCTAGTTCAACAAAGCATTCAAAAGTAAGTGCTTAAGTCTATCACTATTCAGCAAAGCTCTTAAACACCTTCTTAACTTTAAACGTGTATGAGTGAATCAGTAAGGCTATGTCTACATTGCACCGTAGTTTGAAATAAGATATGCAATTTTAACTATGCAAATTGCGCATCTTATTTCGATTTTATTTTGAAATAGCTTATTTCACAGACAGTGCCAAATTTTGAAATAACCCGCTATTCCGAAACGTCCTTCACTCCTCATGGAATGAGGTTTACAGGGACGTCGGAATAGCGAGCCCGAAATAACGGGTTTGCTGTGAAGACGTGGGATCGCTATTTCGGGATATGCTGGTATCCTGAAAGAGCATTGCAGTGTATATGTAGCCTGAGAGCCAAGCACAGGCATTAAATTAAGCAGGTGATTGATTGAGTGCTTTGTGTAATAGTGATAAATAGCTGAATTGGGCTATGACTGAATGCTGTTAAACTATAATAAATTCCTTTCTGCACTTTTGCTTTCCAAGAAAAAATATGTTATAGGAGGATAAAATGAATAGTAATTTAAGAACAAAATTCATGTGATATTTCAATTTGCTGGCAGCAGTAGTAGTCTGTTATCTCTTATGTTGTCCAACTATGAGAGAGCAAATGTAACACATATTTTACAGGCATGTTAAATTATTTCATCTAGTCATTAATGTAACAAATTGCTTTGATCCGAGCTCATACCCATGCAAAGCCACATAAAATCATATAAAGTAAGAGCTATTCGCTGGATATATACTTGCTTTTCCTGTGACAATTGGTCTTTTACAAGTTGGATTAATAATATTGACAAATGTGTAAAAAGCTTACCTAAGACTAAAAAAGATTAGACGCTTCGGGGGTAGCCGAGTTAGTCTGTACAGTTTGTTGTCGTTGTTTTTAAAAAGATTAGTTAGTGTCACTTGTTATAGTTACAATAGCTGAGCCAATGTGACAGCAATTAGCATGAAAATAGTTCTGCCTATGTCTCCACTTGTGTTTTCTGTAGAAAAATTAATTTGTGTGTTCTTTTCATGATTAATGAAAAAAAATTAAAAATTCTCCACAAGCCTATTGCTTCAATGCCTGGGACCACTGAAATTTGGTGACAAAGCTTCTACTGACGTCCCTGGGACTAGGATGCACCCTGAAATGGACAATAAAAATTCTGAAAAACTGAAATCAGTCCCATTTAATGCACAGTAACCTCAGCAACAGAATAAGGAAAATCTGACATTTCATTTGAAAGCAAATTGGAGCTTGTGCAGGTTTTTTTTTTTACAAACAAACATTCTTATGAAGATTAATATTAATTGTGTGAACTTTAATTTTGCCACTCAAATATTATGGCTGTAATCCTTTCACTGGTGAATTTTCTGAATGCAGTTATAAGACTTCATTAAAAATAAATACCGTATTCTTACAGCATAAACAATAATAGCATATAATAATATCAGATGCTAAGGAATCTATTAACACTGAATTCTTTAAATGCTTTTTGGCATTAACTTCTTTCCAGGCCAAACCTCTGTAGCCAAAATGCCTTTCTACAATTGATGTATGATGATTAAGGTTCAGTAATAATGTAAACAACAGAAAGTGAAATGCTCCAATAGATATCATTTAAATGTAATTAATAGCCTGGTTAGTTTAATTCTGGTATTCTCATTGACCTTAGACTCAAATTACTCACCAATCACCTTTAAAAGCTATTAAATAGTACTGTTTTAGCAATCCTGTAATTTATAATCTCAGCAGCAGCTAACAATATTTTTAATAGACCTGTTTAATGCACTTATTTTATATTATATTAATACCTTTAACTGTAGGAAAAAAGGTCACCAGTAGTGAATATTTCCTAAAACATTAAAAAGCCATTGTCATGTACCAAGAATGTACATAACTGCCTGCATTTTATATATATTCAAATCTACCTTGGTATTTTTAGTGTGCTGTTACTGCAGTATCTGACTTGATTAGATTAAGAAAAGAGACCTAGGTTATCTATATGTTATCTAATACCAACCGAACTATAGCCTGTTCCCTTTGTGTAAATACAGTTTAACACCATTTATCTCTTTATAGCTGGTTGAGATTGGCCTCAGGCTCCTTGCTAGAGTTGACCTTGAACAGCTAAATTGAGGTTAATGTTCATAGGAGACTGGTGCCTGCCGGGAGTGGGGGACGGACAAGGGGGTGCAAGATGCAGGCAGGGCCATTCAGAGGAACAGGAAGGGCACAAGGGGGGCACCCCATTTAGCAATTAGAGTTTTGGTAGATGCACCTTTCAAGGGCTACCATGAATCACTCATGTTAATGGTAGAGCCCTGTAAATCTGTAGATATCCGTTTTATATTCATGGGTGTCTGCATCCACGGATATGGATGTGGATATCTGTGGCTCATTTTAGCAGATACCGATACAGATGTGGATACTCATTTTATATCTAGAGCCCTCCGAATCAGTGGATATCTGCTTTATATCTATGGGTATGAGCATCTGTGGATGTGGATGTGGGTGTAGATATCTGTGGCTTATTTTTACAGATATGGATGTGAATGATGATGCAAATTTTGTATCTGTGCAGGTTTCTACTAACTTGTGTCTGCACTAAGGAGAAGTTTGTGGTTAGGTTGGGATTAGCAGAGACATGTTTAGTAACAGGGAGCTGATCTGATTTTTTTGAATCACAGTGTAAATGTGCAGTACAAGATTTTGTGTGTGGTTTTGTAATCGAATAAGAAATGGATCTGAAGTAGAGTGCACGAAGCTGGTTTAAAACCACTTTTGCCTTCTTGGCCTCATCTTCCCTTCACTTCACAAGCACTTGTCCAACTTGTCTGTAGCTCAGGACAACTTGGCTACAGCTCAGGATCTAGGCCCTTAACTTTAAGTTAACAACGTCTTATGTGTGTATATGCTTATTACTGTGTATGCTTGCCTTTATTATTTTTTACTATGATATTAAACTGGGAAGGTAATTTATAATTACCCTTGAATTTGTTTATGAATCTAGTCTTCATAACAAGCTTCAGAGGGGTGGCCGAGTTAGTCTGTAACAGAAAAAACTTAAAAAAACAACCAATAGACTAGTAGCACCTTAAAGACTAACAAAACGTGTAGATGGTATCATGAGCTTTTGTGGGCACAACCCACTTCTTCAGATGACTGGAGTATTAGAAGTCCAGATCCAAGAATAAATAAGGGAAGGAGGGGGAGAGAGAGAAAAAAAGAGAAAAGGAGGGGAAAAGAAAAAAAAAGAGAGAGCTAGTGAGTAGATGGTTCAAATAGTTACAACAGGCTGATAATAACAATTAGCTCCGTCATTGTTTGGTTAGTTGGTTGGTTAAGTCATTAGGATATGGAAGGTAGCGTGTGAGACAGCCGATGTCCTCATTTATACCATTTGCATAAAAATTAAACTTGTAAATGAAGTTAACTTATGAACAAGGACATCCGCTGGCTCGCACACTACCTTCCACATCCTAATGACTTAACCAACCCACCAACCAAACAATGACGGTGCTAATTGTTATTATCAGCCTGTTGTAACTATTTGAACCATCTACTCACTAGCTCTCTCTTTTTTTTTCTTTTCCCCTCCTTTTCTCTCTCTCCCCCTCCTTCCCTTATTTATTCTTGGATCTGGACTTCTAATACTCTAGTCATCTGAAGAAGTGCCCATGAAAGCTCATGATACCATGTACATGTTTTGTTAGTCTTTAAGGTGCTACTAGTCTATTTGTTGTTATTAAGTTTTTTCTTTATAACAAGGTTCTGGTTGGATTAGGAATCTTCAAAGCCATATTGGAATAAATGGAATAAAATCCACAGATTTTCTTGGGGTTTAAATTGGGTTCAATTTTCAAAACAACACCTTTTCTATATTTTGGTTATGAAAACTAGAAATAGTAATAAAATTTAATGTTCTGTTTTCTCTCAGTAATTTCTCCAGAAACAAGCTCTCAAGTTTGTATAAGAAGACTTTCCGCCATCTGAATTTGTCTGATCTGTAAGTAGTGAGGCTTTTTTTAAATGAAGATTGTTTATGTTTTGGAAATAGAATAGCACTCTGAGAGCTTTTAGGGTGCCATTGACCACAGTGGAGCCAGAATTTATCCCATATCTTTAGGGAAAGTAAGCAGCTTTTGGATGATGACATTGTTTTAAACAGATATTAATTTAACGCAGTACCAGAGCAAAACACCATGGTATTTGCTTTCTCTCCAATGCAACATAAATTAATCTGTGAATAAAACTTGCATTTCCTTGTCAGCTTTAAAATGTTGTATTATGAAATTGTTTCACATGGAACTATAGAGTTTTGGATTATACAAGGTGGAACCCTCTCACTGCAGTACAGGCAGTCCCCGAGTTACGCGGATCCGACTTACGTCGGATCCGCAGTTAAGAACGGGGCTTTTCTCATCCCGGAGGACGGGAGTGGCGGGACGCCCAGATGAGCCGCTGTCCCACCGCCCGCATTCTCCGGGGCGAGAAAAGCTGCTCCCCGTCTCCTTGGTCTGCTGGTCAGACCAGGGAGACACGGAGCAAAGCCGCGGAGGACGCCCGCAGTGGGACAGCCCAGACGCGCCGCGGCTGTCCCGCTGCGGGCGTCCTCCGAGGCTTTGCTCCCCCCCTCCCTCGGCCCCGGCGGGCGGCCC